TTCGATGCAGCTTCTACACTTAGTCTGAAGAGATTGCCACCTGTCTGTTGTCTTCCATGGTAAGACCCGTGCTTGAGTACGACTCACTTGCCCATTGTCCCATCAAAATATGTGACGTACAGAGACTGGAACGGGTCCAGCATGTGCTATCTGGCTCATCCCCAGTTTACGGGATATGTCGTACGAGGACCGATATAGGAGGCCAGGACTTTATGCACTGTCTTATTGTCGACGTCGAGTTGATCTCATTATGAGGCACCGGATACTGCACCACTGCCATTTCCGTATGTTGCAGCCACTGCTGAAGGTTCGCGCACCAAGCAGCAAAAGCGGACACCGGTAGAAACTACTGGTACCGGGTTTAAAGCACATCGCTCACCCTCTGTGCTACGAGCTTCGAGTGGTGAAATATTGGAACGAATTTCCGGAGACGCTAGTCGAGGCGTAGTCGGTGTTGGAATTTAAAAGATTCCTTGGCGCCCACTTTGCGAACTACAGGTATAAAGGAGCGTATCGCACCGGGATAAGATGTAGTTCAGCTACAACATGCTGCCAACACGCAGGAATCAGCGACATGATTCCGCGCATGTACCCGATCCACCTACCACGCAGCAACACAGAATATGTCATCTTCTCGGTTTCTATCCTCAGTATTCAGTATTCACGGCTCTACTGTAGCAAGAACAAAGCCACAAGAAAGCACAATCGTTACTGCGCGTGACCATAGTTTGCACAGTCTGCACACACGCGCACAGGTATCGACAATGTTTCCGTCCCACAACACAATTTACATAGGGAGGCACAATATGTCATGTTCGTACCTCGCTGACCTGCATCTTTGGGATCCGGGCCGCCTGTCTGACCCAGTAGCTTTGCTTCCATCGCTCGCAACCTGAATGACTCTTGCTTGCTTGATCTCGGTTGCATTATTTGGCTTGGGATTACTCCTGGATACACTGAGAAAGGTGCTTCTGTCTGATTTATTGGCCTATCGATACCCCTTTTCTGCACTTTTTGGCTCAGGTCCGTTCCCGTTCGTAGCTTGCGGTCCGCTCTCTGCTCGTACTTTTGGGTTGGAGTTGAGCCGTTACATCTCGTCCATGAAGTCTGCGCTCGTTTCGGTCCTCGCTCATTCCAGTAGCTTTTTAGTCTCCTACATGATAGCTACCTCCCCCGCTACTACATTAGGTGCGCGACTTTGTTTTCTTCCAAGCAACAGCTGAGGGCACTATGATAAAATGCACCCAGGAGCAGCTCCCAACCCCTGAGGTGAATAGTGCACCACAGCCACTCACGCGTGCCACCATCAGTTTTGTAAACGCTTACATCTCTCACACACAGGGAGGACCGGATATAGCAAGACCCCACCGTGTATAGTCAAGAGTCTATCGCAGCGGCAGCAGGAGTAGCTACTGCGTTTTATTTCTTGAAAAATCACCTCAGAATTCAGCCACGTCGCTGCGAGTCCCACTACACCTGACCGCTCAGGTGTAGTGAAACGACAGAGCTCATTGTGCTTACTCAAAGGACTGTAGACGTTGGTAAAGGTTACACGTGGCTGCATAAGGAACCACCGAGTTTGCTCGAAGTAAGCGCAACATTGTAGTTTGCTTACTGGTGTCTTGAAAAATACCCGTAAATTTGCGATAGGGAGATTTTTATCTGGTTCATCAAAACTAGACTACAAACCGTAATGATGAGCCAGCAATCCGGGAAAGCGCTGGACGATCGTCTCGTCCTATTGGGGTTCGTCAATGACGCATATTACCGCGGTCCACTGCTAGCGATCAAACCTATGTCCACTAGTGACTTGCACCACTAGCCATCAGCTTATGTCACTGAGCTATGTGGACGATAACCGACTATCACGGATTGAAATCTCCACTGTTATGCAGGTAGCTGCCCGTGCAGAGGACAGCAGTTGGCACTCCTGGTCAGGACTTCCGTTCCTAGCGCCGTGAACCCACACTGCACTCCGAAAATTGGTAGGGCGTAGTCTTAGTTTCCCCATCGTCGATGCGTCCTTTCAGGTTAATGATAGTGTAGTGTACCGGACAACACGCTCTTTCAGTTGTTGCAACATTGGATTTTACGGTTGTTTTAACCTTCAAAACCTCCACAAGTTTTACTGACTGCACATCCGTGGACACAAAGCGTTTTGGTGAGTACCTTGCTACACCTTTTCTCGCTCTGATTGATTCGCTTCCTATTTTTGTAGCCTGCACAATATACGTTGGGTTCAGTCGCCTCTGACTTCTATACTGTCGTATTTGACTCGTCTTACGTGTCACTGCTTACCGAGTAGTATCCCAGGCTCCGCTCAACAATGGTAGACTTTAGCCCTTCACGATCCATCAGATCTGGATCTGAGCGGACATGCAACCTTAAACCTTCCAAATTATATAACTGGGACATGATTATCCTCGGACTGATTACGTCCACGAAACTGCTTCTCATTGGTCGTCTTTGTTGAGCACCTTACTTTGCTTCGCTTTCAATCAGTCTTCACCCAGGTCGAGTTGTCTATTAACTAAGCTCTGTAAAATCTCAACCTCATGATCGTAGCCTATCTATGGAGTTGGGTCATTGTTCTCAGGCGCGTGGAATCTCACGGTGTTAAAGCGCCTCTGGTTGGCCAAGGATGACTTTGCAGGACGAGGATTTTCTCGCACTTCACCTGGTCTGGCTTGCCGATGATTTGCGGCGGCTGAACTCATGTCATTTTTCTGCTTTTTCTTTTTTGTACTTTCCGTTTGGCTTTATCACACAGCCCCGCCCACATCGGGACATCTGCGCCCGTAGGATGCAACAAGGGCAATGATTCGTGTTAGGTAATACAGTGGTGTTAACAATGGCAGAGTTTCGCGTCAGTGAGTTTGCGCGGGACGAACAAAACTTGATCTGAAATCTGGAGGCAGTTCGGGCTAGCTTGTTGGGCCGAACACGCGGAGCTGCTGGCAATGCAATGCTTCATCCTACACGGCGGGTTACGATTCTGCTTTACTTTCTCCGGATAGATCTCGTTTCGGTAATTTTCTAAAATTTGTAAGCTATCACGTTGAATTTCACGAAAACACCGAAAGTGCTCAATCCACAGTCCATTGCATGACATACGGAATTTAACATGACACAACACATTTGTTTGACTTGCACAACCTTGGAACAGGCACCACAAGTTGGTTACTTCGGTAGTATGATAAATCCGAGGCCAAGATGTCGGCTAATTATGGATAACAAAGAGATAGTAAGACCTCCAAAACAAAACATAACGCAAGTGCGTATGGTCAAAATGTCCAGAAGCAGATATGAAACTCAACTGTAACGTAATTTCCACGAACTAATTCCAAGGCAGGGAGAAATCCAACAAGCAACAAGCTTGTTACGACAGGCAGGAAAATAACGCAATTCGATTACGTTAAGAACTACCTTGAGTAACTTACGGAGAAACATGATCTCCTTATGCAGAAATTTGATTGTATCGTGAATGAAAATGAATACGAAATTGTACACATGAATACATCAGAATGAGCTGTGATTTGAACAACTCGGCCCGCCGCCTACAAAAGTTTGGTTGGAGTTCCATCGTTCCTGGACTATTACTAACGTTGTGTTAAAACTAGATAGCCCCTCAGCCACCTTACATAGCTTAAACTTTTCTGCTTAGACTGGCTATCGGTATGCAGAATGAAGTGTGTAACAGAAAAGCTATGGTTTTGATATCACAGTCACGAACAATGCGATGAGCAGGTGAAAGTAGGTGTCATTACCATCATCTTCACCACCGCCACCACCACCACCAGCAGCAGCAGCAGCAGCAGCAACAACAACAAAAACAACAACAACACGAGCATCGTTCCCACTACCGTTATCACCAATTTCAGCTTTTAAGGGTATACATACAGACAGCACAAAAGTTACCGACTTTGTACCGATATGGTTTGGAGTTCCTGTTCCGACTGATTGAATGTAGCGAATACCCGATGAGTCGGGAACTAACAGTCCTGTTTCGGTCACGTAATCTAGCAACGATAACTGAAACTAAATTACTGTCCAACACTGTGGACTGCGTTTGGGGGGCTATAATGGTGACGAGAGGCTGAAGCATACAGAAGTAAACATTAGTGATCCTACTGTCCTAATACGGTCCCCAACCGATGCAAATCAATACGCTATATGGTAAAGAGCATCAGGACTATACCTTTTCTCAGTTCATTGCATCGTTCCCCAGATGTCTGCAGCGTTCACGCTTTAAGCTGCATCGCGTGCGTCATGTGACACCTTGCACGTGTGCACTGGTATGAGCCATACTCGTGGACTGTGCTCGCGAGGTGAGATAACTTGGTCACCTTGCCATCGACTGCACTGGTACGGTGATTAACGTAGCGGTGAAGGTAAATCCATAGGCACACCAAGTTGAGCGGAATAAATAAATAAATAAACAGTTAATGCAACAGCTTGTTCACGTTTAGGTCCAGTATGTGAGCAAGCGACTTCCAGTTGCGTCCGTCGCCATAAGTGTTAAGTATTATGATCTTTACCTCCGCCGATTGGGGCGTAAGAGTGCTTTTGTGACATTCGAAACAGAGCATGCTGGTGCACTAATTTCACGGTTCCACTCAACTTGGCGTGCCTATGGAGTTACTTTCACCGCTACGTCAGTCACCGCACCAGTGTAGTCTGTGGCAAGGCGATCACGTGATCGCGCGTTGCGAATGTATCACTTGGGTATGGCGTACACGTGTGCACACGTGCAACGTGTCACATGACGCACGTCAAGCAGCTTAAAACGTGCCCGATGCAAACATGTGAGGGAACGATGCAACGAATTGAGCAAAGGTATAGAACAAGAAAGAGAGCACCACAATTACAAGTTGTACAGATAGAAATGTAATGACATTTCTGTCCCTACAGAGTTCTTTCGTAGAAACTGGCTAAGAAAAGTAGATTGAAAGCCTCAGTCCTTGGAGAATTAACGCGTCACCTGATTGTGGAGGCAATAGATGTCTCTCAAGAATGCACGTAGAGAAGACGATCGCCATGACTGCTTCCTTAAATCTAAGCATATGAACATCAGGTTTGTTTTACGGTATTCAGAGGTGATTCTGTGCATACCACAGCATTATTGTACCAACTGCAAGTTTAGTAGGACAGCAAAGCAAGCTAATTGCACCCACGCAAATACCCGTTCACATCCGCAGACAGCGGAAATGATGCGCAAATGTGATGGTCACTTGGCTGTAAGATGTCAGCGAGGGAACAACGTAGTCCAGTAAATTCATATATCCAACCTGATCATACAACAAGGCTGACTTCATAGCAAATATTCCTGAGCACTTTCCTTGTGACTGCTACCAAGTAACAGCTTGGTCTGAGATTCCGCCGTGGAGAGCTCAAAGACAAATCTCCGTTTCTAATACGATATTTAACCTCGGCGAAGTATCTTTACTACAACCACACCAAGCCTAACAAGAAGTAGACTTTTATGCCAGTCGCGTTGAAGCGTCTGCGTGGGAATTATGTACACGCTTTAGTGCGGCATTTCAACGTGCTAAAATTATGAAAAGCGGACCACATTCATCAAATGGCTGGACCCCACTTCCAGCGGATTGGCATGGCTAGTGTCATTTGGTTACCAAAATGGCAGTGTGGGATAGAAGGGCCATGGTTAGACTACAGTTGTGTCTGTACATCCGTGATATAACAATTTACGTTGTTCAACTTACACACAACACGTTGAGATTAAGTGATCCAACGGCAAGAGCCTTCATAAGTAAGCAACTAATTAGACTTTCTCGAGTTAACGAAAGATTACGCATAATAACGGCACAGGTCAACTCACGTATAATATGCCTGTGCAGATTTAAGACTTAAAGGTACATTTCCCCCTTTTCCAGTCAATAACGTAAAAATCCAAGCGTATAATAAATGTCAACAAGTTTGACTACCAATGTTCCTTTTTCAAATACATACATGGCGGGATGGAGTAGTTGAAGTGTTGTGGGGCTTTGTGTCGCTCGGTTATAAAATGAATGTTAACTTCCAGCTATGTAACAGAAAGTTGGCTCCACTTCTGATGTGCTCAGTTTTACAGAGCGTCGAATAGTACATTTAAACAGTTATTGGGGGGGGCGTGTAGATCAGGATGGGGAGGTAACTACGCAAACCTAGCTTAGGAAGGTTCAGAATACAAATCCGCTCTTTATATAGGACTTTTTGTTCAACACTCTCTGTTATGTTACCAATACTGTAATAGATGCAGATAGATTCAGACTTATCAGTGGGACTGGTGATTCTGGTACGCGTAAACATTAAGTGATCGAAATTACGAATTTTGCTCTTTGTTGACTTAACTCATGTGTCCTTGTTTGTGAGTCTGTTGTAATCTGTCTGCGTTACAACGGTTTGCAACTCTCAACTCAACCAATTTGTCTAAACACGGATGTCATTTAGCTATCAGTAGTGCGCCAATAAATCCATCGTCTTGGGAATGTTCTGTTCGCGTTGAAGGTTATGCAGTAGCAACTGTCCGGTGGTCTGACTGCGAAGCTTTAATGAATTATCCCACATTTCAGATACCTCATTTTGAGAGCTTCGTGATTTTACCCATTCGGTTCCACGTCAGACAGTCGCACGAATACACTCGGCCAATTTTGAACGAAAGTTCCGTGTGGGAATTTACTTTTTCGTAGTAAGCGTGGAAGATATGGGAAATGCATAACTTCAAAGGTTTTGGAATACCAAATCGGTTTGTAATCTAAAACTTCGGATGCAATGAATTCCCCTTTGGTTTCAGGCGTTTTCTGGGACATGAAACCATTTGTCGTTGCGAAACAAAGACTGCAAATCAAAATAGTGCAATCAACTGGCAAAATTGCAAGTGTATTCCCCAGTTGGTAATGTGGGTTGGCTTAAAAATAACGAATGTTGCAGAGGACTCGATTTTCTTCCAATTCTCCGTTTCCGGTGACGATATGCGGTGGATGCAACTATGCATGTTCGAAGTCTAGCATACGAACGAAGACAAGTTGACCGTGTAAGCATGAAACCTGGGAAAAAAGCTTGTCAGAGTGAAAAGAATACTGGTAGATGCAAGTGGAGGTAGCTGAATAGGATAAAGTTAAATGAAATTAGAACCGTGAATATAAAAACCGTCACGGTGTTTGTTCTAACACAGACGCATGATATATCCTTAGAATAAAGAACAATGGAGTGCTTGGAAGTGTGGTGGTGGTTGTTCAACTTATCCTTATGTATGTGGTTACAAAGTGCAGGAGCAGGAGGACAGAAAAGGGTGCAAGGCGAGGTCAGCTAAAGGCAACATCGAATACTAAATGTATGCTAGCGCGCGCGTTTTGCCACAGACGAATTGTGCTTCGCCGGACCAGGTGAGAAAGAATGTGAGTTATGTCAGGGGTTAAGAGCTCCTTAGATTCTTTGAATTTTGTGTTATTCATTATACTGTATTAGACGCTTTCATATAGCCAATTGCACGTTTACTTTTCTTGAACATCTCTAATAATGTATGGATTAAAAGCGAGTAGTGATGGAATTTGAATGGCGTAGAGGGAGAAACTCATCACATGTAGACTCAGTCAGACAGCCACCACAAGCTCGGAGAAACCCTGCACAGCTGTTTCATCGTTTCGGGAATCGTCCACAGTACGCATCCCATCCGGTCCTTGTGGGCTAGAAACCGCAGACCAACTGTTATCATTTCGTGAAAGGCGCTACATCACACCCAGTAACAGTCACGTCGGTCGTTACCGTCCTGCGTAGCCCAGTGGTCTCAATCGCAGACTGGCAACAGTCGAGTTGCGGGTTCGAGCCGTACCATTGGTCAGATGAAATGTGCAACGCTGACGATTCCCGAAAGGATGCAACAGATGCACAGTGCTGCCGCGGGCTTGTGGTGGCTGTACGATGGAGTCAAAATGTGGTGGATTTTTACACATAATTTATTACTTGTCAACTCTCCGTTATTTCGACTGTAGTAAAACTAACGTGCATTGCGAATTCAGTAGGCTTTGCAACTTGGCCGGAGTGGAATTTGCATATGCTGTGCGTGGATAAAACACAAAACATGCAGTGCGTCGTAACTGAGTTGTACAAAATAACAAAGCTTGTCTGTTAGCTAGTTCGCGCTCCTTCGATCGACAGCCTATTAATTCTGTCATTTACATTGTTTTTAATCGAAGGCGGAACTAATACGTCCAATTATGAGACAAACATGTGCTTATCGATCAGGTCGAACCTAAAGCAGGGATCAAGTTTAGGCTTCGCTACCCAGCTAAATGTAAGTACTGCCTCACAGCACGGAGCATTTGACGCAGTATTGTTAAGTTGTCAAATGAGTGGCATTTTGCTAAAACACTGAAAATTTTCTGTTACGAACTCATCAGTGTTTCCCAAGTTGGAGATTGCTCCCGAGCAAATACTTATAAGGGGCGAACACCGACTCTATGCAGAATAAACTTTTGACTCATTTAGTGTGAAGAACTCTACTATCATTCTTTCCATCTAAGGGTTCTTCCAAGCTTGTGCTTAGGGAACTTGAATGAAATCGATTGATGCGGCTCATGATCACGGCTTGTGAAACAGATCAGTAACGTAGTACCATCCAGCGTAAAGAACGGGGTGAAACACTGCGTGGATAATAAATGTACTTGAAGTACTCTGATGATAATTTGATCCGTTTCCTTCACACATTCCTCAGCCCATGTAGATCCATCGCTAATACTAGTAGAGCATTTATGCCATCAATCAAATCGTAATTGCAAACGGATATGATTTCATAGTTTGATCATGCTTGCTGACATTAACGACGGAGTTTATTTATATCAGAAACAAGAGTAACCTAGAGCACAATACCTGTGAACTAGGTAGTTGTGGCATTATATTTTGGCATTTACACAGCTTGACACCGAGGGGAATGATAAGATGGGATCCAGACATGAAAATAATCAGCTAAATCGAAGAGATTTACTTTAGATAGAATGGCTTCTAATTTGTTACTACATCGAGTGCTTTACGCAAGTCACTGAATGGGATAACCAAATACTATAATGTTTGTAAAAATTCTTGCCGGCCATTGTCGAGCATCATGTGATTTTGGCAGTTAGTACCTACTGCATTATCTTCCACAGAAATCTCCGGTGGCACTCCATCCATCACACCCGCACAAACGTTCTACCCTTAGCAACAAAGTATCAATGCATGGAGAAATGATCATGGAAAAGATGGCATGTTTAACCTGGACTGACCGAGCAGAAGTCACTTGAGGCAGCACCTATCCATATTGAATCGTGACTTACCTACCAACGATGTGATTGTCCTAGGGCCGTACCAATACTTTCTTCAATTACGCTGGACTGAGCCTAGCAATATCAATTGATCCAAGTGAATTGCATCGGACAGACGCCCCTTGGAGCGCGTGCTAGTAGGACAAACATGTGAACAAATGTTTGGCTGCGTTGAGATCTGATGGCCATCTGCGCATCCGGTCAGTCATGTGCGGTCTTGCTAAATTAAATCTACCACAAGTGTTAGCGTCGAGCTCCTGGTCATATATGTTGTTTGATATATACTTTCACCATTCCAGCAGTCCCCTGTTAGCTCTCGTGCTCTAGTCTCGATTATGGCGAACAGCAGATGATCTACGATCCCGATGTAGTTAGACATTTATAGTAACGTGAAAAAACTCGACCGTAATGGGCTTCAAGTGGACGTCATGATGCTGTTTGGACAATGGTGACCGACAGCATAGACGCGCCATCCACTCTTTTGGTCTGGTGACCTGACCCAACGGTGCATTCACGGAGTTTACTGAGTGACCTCATGATACCCAGCTATTCTGGCTTTCCAAACGGTGATTGTGCGCAATTCTTTGTGTGACCACCAATTACGCGGTTGTTATAAAATCCCGTGTTTGCATCGACCCTCCTTGTCGGAAAGGACAAAATGGTTTTCACTGATAACACCCAAGCGTAGAGTAGCCAATCTAATTCGGTTCGACACGACCTAGGAAACCTGGTCGCCTGATGTATGCACAGTCTGAGACTGGAGAAGAAACGCGTAACCGCACATGACGGAATTTGAGATACAGAAGAAAAGACTGGCCGATAATGATAGTTCGTTTACTGGCTCAGTCAAAGACACAAGTGCCCTCTACCCATTATATATATATATATATATATATATATATATATATATATATATATATATATTAATGGCATCAAACTACGGTAAGTACTATAGATGAAGGCACATGCCATTTGTGTTGTCACGTAGTGGCAGTGTCCTGAGGAAAACTCAGTTAAGTGCGGCTTGCGACGGTAGATTCAGCGGTGTCACTGGGGCGAACTGAGGTGGAATCTGCGCGAGTTACGTTGACACATGACAGCGGTATCATTGAGGAGAGCCCAGTTGTTACTTGCACTTTTCATGTTAATATGCCTGAAAGGCGAGAAGCAGTCTTGTCATTAATCAGAATATGGATTCAGTGGCGTAGCAATTAACGTTGTCGTCCCGGGGTGGACGTGAAATTGCCGCCCCCATGGCGGTTGTAAATGCGTAAACCCTCAGAATTGTGCGCAGCCCTTAAATACTTCGTTTCAAGTAACAAAAAGCAAAGGTCTACTTTTAGATTGGTGCTGTAGGTCCAGGCATTTTTATTGCTACAGTACTCGTGAACAAAATGTACAGCTACACTTCTCACGCATTACTTGGGGCGGTAGTATTGATAACACTATCCAGTGTCAAATTTGCTATGTTGAGAAATGCCAATTCGTGAGCCTTGTCTGGTTCCATGATGACTGAAGGTAGTTCGTTATGAGCTCGCGTTTTGAGAATGCACTCTCACAGCTAACATTGCCAACAGTTCAGGTAAAAAGTGTGCGCAGCATAGTCCCCAATGAGATATTTCTGTATGAGGCTGCAAAGCCAAGAAGGTCCATTAATTTTGTCGTTTCCTGATGCTTACAATAAAGGTTGCAATCTTTTCCTTTCGGCATGGAATTCCTCTTTTTCTATACGTTCGTCCACTTTACTAAGCGGAACACCATAGTTATGCTCAAGCAGGTTTGAAGGTGTAAGAAAAGCATGTTTGTTCGTAAGGTCATGAATTTGCTGGAATCTGTGACATTTCATCAGTTAAACTGTTTATCAGAGATAGCATTTATCGTTTCAAGGTAGCATCAAATCCCATCGGTATACCAAGCAATATTTCACCGTCCATTCTATTCTTTCGGAGGATTCGTCGCTTCCTGTTTACCCCCAATTTAGCGTAGTTTTTGGCTTCATTCTTTGTAATGACCACCATTTTCTCTCTATTCTGAAGAAGACAAACGCTTAACGCTGTAAGCTTGACAGAACTTCGCTGCACATCCAGCCCATTTGTTTTAGACATATCTGTGCGTGTATGGTTTTTATGAGAACACAGCCAACCTAAATGCTCAGAAACAAAATAAACGGAAACGACAATACCGAGCTGAGAATTAATAATGCAACTAATCTTGTGATTGCATTTTCTCCTTATTCTGTGAAATATTTCAGCGGTGACAAGTGTCTGCTCGACTACTCCATTTAGCTTGTTGCGTCACCTGATACTTATATCGGTGAACTGAATCAAGACATTCAAGTAATAGTTAGATGAAAAAGAATGAGAATAACCCGTCTATCGTGTCAAAACTGTGACAGAATGAACCGTCGCAGAAGCTGCATGAACACAGAGAATGGTTTGTGGATGACACAAATGTTGACGTTGGGCTTATTTCACAGCTACGTCTCTGGACACCCATTGGTTAGCGCGGCAGAACAGTAGCATTGTAAAACACTTGACCGTGACAGTCGTCAATCTACATTAAATTGTTCTCCATTTCTCCCAAAACCATTCCAGCAAC